TTATATTATGATAAAATTATGGTAGTGGTCAAATGGAATAAAAACAGAAAAATGCTAGAATTTCGGATTACAAATTATTTTTTATCGGAAAATATTTTACTTAAGTATCGGTCGTAATGAGTAGATAAGAGAATATGAGTAGATAAGAGAATAATTCTGTTTATAAATGATTTTATATTTAATTTTGCAGAACTACTATTAATTTGTGTCTTTTTATAACATTTCAGGATCTTGAAATTCATGGTGTTATGCGATTCTATTTTCAAGAATCGAAAGATAAAGTATTGACAAAATGTATTCGTGTTTCCAGTACAGCAACAGCTCGGGCAGTTATCAATGCGTTGGTCGATAAGTTTCATCCTGATTTGAAAATGTAAATTTACAAATGGTTTTTGCAATCGGGAATTACGTCCCGCATTTTATTCTGAAAACTTGATATCAATGTGGGAAAAAAAGACGAGCTAATTTTCAGGCTCAGTGATCCAGAATATACTTTGTGGGAAGTTCATGAAAATGGTGATGAGCGATGTTTAGGACTCAGTGAGAAACCATTACTTGTACAGCTGAACTGGCATAAAGATGATCGCGAAGGTCGGTTTCTGTTGAGGACAAATCCTAGTACCACTTCTGTCAAGGTATAAAATTTGGTCTTAAGATCTGTAAAAATAATAAATAACGAAATAACAATCCCATCCTGACTGATTGGAAATTTCAAGGAATCTTGAGCCTTGTGAATAGTTGATTCTATTTTATTTGGACAATTTAATTGCCCAAGCAGAGTGGTCAAATAAAATAGAATGAACTACACACATTTAACAAATAAGATGAATACTCGAGGATAATTCACGAGTAACGAATGAATTATGTTAATATTTTGAAGGATAGATGATAGTATGAAACTTGCTTTGTAAAAGCCACCTATTCTCTATTAAGCACATTTTTAAATGAAGACGCTTATAAGAATGGCATAAGTCCACACTTTTTTTCGTAATTTTTCATAATTTTTTTAGAAGACAAATTATTTTAGGGTGCCATAGGTGGTTTGAGTGGCAGCCAAAAAAGGTTTTCGAAAAAGGAAGAAAAAGAATTGAAAAAGAAGCATCAAAGAGGTTTCTGTTTTATTCGTTCTATTAATTTAATGCCACTTTACATTGTTGAAATTAGATCTAAAATTTATTTTTCATCAGAGTTTACTTTTTCGTCAAAATCAAACTTTTTTTTAATGATATGAAGGAGATAAACGATGACTATCAGTGGCTTTATTAGCATTTTAGATTTGGTTGGGAATACTTTAATGTGCAGTTAGCATTTTAAACTTGTTCACAAATATACAGCCACTCCGATTGTACTATTGTATTGCATAACTGTTGAGAATGAATATGTTTATTGACCGCTTATTCCCTTTATGCTGGTAAAAAATGGTGCTGATAAAGAATGATAAAAGTTCAAATGCCAAATCTCGTCTGACATTTCAGTGGCGAATGTTATAATACGTAGGGAATTTTTTTGATGATTCATATAGGAATGGAAACAAAAGAAAATTGACGGAACAATCAATGACATATAGGAATAGAATATTTAGCGGAAGAATACGAACTTAAACGGACAAAGTCAGATTGTCAAAAATGATTTTCAATTATGAATAAAAATTTCAGCAGTTGAGCAACAAGAGCCGAAGTTACGCGCCTCCGAAGAATTATATAAAGCATTGCCACCAACAACATTTACGCGAACAATTTCGAATCCAGAAGCTGTGATGAAAAAACGACGCGAAAAAAAGATTGCTGCAAAATTAAAAGATTTAGGTCAAGGTAACGATAAAAGTGTCGCAATTTAGCTTTTTTTCGTGATAAACAATTCAAGGAATTAAAAAAATAATAGCTATTTGTAATAATGCTTCATGCTTTGGTGTTTGTTGTAAAAAGAGGTAGTTAGTGCGCATTTTTTGAAATAAAAAAGTATGCAGTAACTATCTCTTTTAGAAAGAAATGTGAACGGATGATATGGCAGTCAATACATTATTTATATAATTTTGTAAATAAAGATTAAGAACTGATAGAAAATGTAAGGAGGAAAATATTGATCTGAGAAAGTTGACGATAAAGATAATTATCAAAAACTTTTAAATTTCGGAAAATTTTAAGAATTTCGAAATCTAACATAACATTAAATTTCTTGTTAGGATTTTTTGCGTATACAGTTGGAGGTAAGTCGATTTGGTGTTTGCTTGATAACTTGGTATGGTGGATTGTTTAGATGGTGATGAATAATTTAAAGTTTCGATTCTTCGCACGGACTTGAGAAGCTAATTCGCGATTAAAAGTGCTAATTGGTGGTGTTATGCGTGCTATATGATTACTTTCGGACATATTACCGGCGTTGCGTTATGAATAACGCAACGTTAAATGATTAGTCCTACATTCTTGAAACAAATCCTGGCTTAACCATATCTTACGGTGATAGTGTGCAATCTTTTGAGAACGTGGATGTCAATTACTATCCTTAATGATGTACATTTATAGCTGGACACTGATTCTAGATATATTTTAGAGTTCAGAATGTTTAGCGACTAAATTATTTTGATCTGGATGATTTGGAGAGAGGATAACTATTATTCTAGGCGTAAGAATATAATTCAAATGGTATTAAATGTTCCTGTGTTTGAAATTTCTCTGAGCAGCGATCTTAAAACCTTATTAATTTATACATTTCAGCGGAAGTTTTCTGAAGAATTTCAAAAAAGGACCAAGTCTGTTTAAAAAACTTGTAGTTGATTGAATCACGCAAGTTTTAAATTATTGTACATTTCAGGTGGTAGTTTAAAGATTTATGGTTATGAATTAGAACCAAGTCGTCCGTACGTCACACTTCTTGTATCAGTACGTGATACTACAAGTAGAATTTTGGAGGAAGTATTAGAAAAATATGGTATCAATAAAAATGTGGAAGAGTATGTTTTGGTTGAGGTATAATATTCGTATTTTTATAAAAAGTTTATCAGATATTAATGTAAAATATTGATTATTGAAGCAGTGGAAGAAAAATAAATTCATTTACAGATGGTGATACCAGTTTCTACGAAACTTTCTTGTTCATTAAGCGATTTACGGTTCTTGAATATCAGTCGGCGTGAACGAATTATGGATTATAATGAATATCCATTGATTAGTCTAGCAAATCGTATACCAGATCCGTCAGAAGAAATATTTTTTGTTGTGAAACAGCAGTCATCTGAAGTACCAAGACGGCACGCTCGTCACTCATCAATATCATCAACTGCAGCACTTGGTGTCAGTTACGCTGATCCGCAAAAGTTCTGTGTAAGAGCTTCGAAAATTCTGCGTTTGCAAAATCTGTTTGCCGTCAAACCATGTCTTTTGCAGCTAACTTTAGGTGAGCTCTAATTATCAATTTTTGGGTGATATTTTATCTCATCTTTGATTGTTTGGGCCTTCACTATGTCTATAATTAAAAAAAAAATATTGTTCTTTGCAAAACAGAATTACTTGAGGTCATAATTTAATTTCATTTTAATCAAACATTGTAACAATTTAGATTGTAAAGAAATCCCAGAAATGAAGCCAATACATCTACCGTTTGGTGTAATGGGTATAGGTTCAGATTGTTCGATGGGATTGTTTCTAGATGGCCAATATATCAGACCTCGACATGCAGTTATCAATTATCAAGATGGTGTTGTGACAATCACACCATCTGATCAAAATGCTTATATTGAGGTTGTCCTTTAATATATGCCAATTTGAAGGGATGAATTGTGTTAAAATGAAATTTCGGATTTATATAAGTAATTGAAACTTCAGGTTGACGGTCAACGTATTTCTCGAACCATAGCTCTTCGTGATGGAAACATAATCGGTATTGGTCACAGCCATATGTTTCGTTATCTAAGTGCTTGGGTCAGTATGTTGAGGTTTTTAATCTTAATTTTTCGTGAAAAATTTCTAAATTTGCTACTTATTATGATTGAAAATGTAAAAAACGATATATTCTTTCCCATTTTAATCACGCTGAATTACTCTGCATTATTTGATAATGTGTAGTGCTGCTAATTTCAGGGCGCTGAGAAGATGCATACAGTTAATGGAAGCAATAACAGATTGGAAATAATGCCCGGATTGAAGAGGTTAGTGTTCTATTTATTTATTTTTTGCATCTGGATTACTTGATGATTGAACGCAAAGTTTAAATTCGGAGCTTTTTATTGAGATCATCTAAAACAAGAGGAAGGGGAAAGAAAGATAAAAGAGCTTTCTTCACTTTCTTAAATGATTCAGATATTTAATGAAAACTGACTGTCTACATTCACTCACTAACCAGTAATCTCATTTGAAACATTACGATTTCCGTTACTTTTTAAAGGTGTCATCATGTTATGTGTTATGTGTCTTTTTTCACTTGAAATCATTTTTTTCGCAACTTCGAAAAATTATGTAATCACTTTCATTTTTAATTCCCATTTGAAATCCGCAAAAAATATCAACTCTCATTTTTTTGAAAGGTTTAGAAAAATCACTGTGATGCATGTACTATTTTTATTTTTATTTTTTGGAAAGATCCACAAGAAATATTCTCGTCTCTCGGCATGTTAATGTTTCATATTCCTTTTTTCTTCAATTAGAAACAACCCATGTTAGTTTTTGAGATCGTAAGGAAGAAGCGTTCTCATTATGCATCTCACTGTTTGGAAAACTTGAATTAAATCATGTTGAGTGTTTTGTAATCTCTTAAAAGGGTGTCTCTGCAATAGAAATAACACAGCATGATTCATTGTTTGGATAGAGCATTGTCGATAGCAAATGTATCGTCATACATGCTTCCTAAGGAGTTGTATTACTGTGCATTATATGTAGGCTTGTCTCTGAAAAATGAAATTTTAATGTTAACTTAATTTTTTTTTGGCTAAAACTCTGCAGGTTATGAGTAATTTTTCATTCATTAACCAGCTACTGGGATAAATTTAGTTAAAAATAGTTAGAATTATTGTAGATAATAGAGTTAAATAGAAATTGCAAAAAATTGCAAAAAAAAAAATTTCATTACAAAAAATTGAAAATTAAATTATTTTTTACTTTTTAAGAAAAATAGTAATTTTACTAAAAGGTCATAAATTTTTGAAGATAGATATTTGAACGAATCATCTTTTTATTACCATAAGTTTTAAATCGTTTCATGGGTCCGAATTCTTTCGTTTTGGTTGCATTTAATTAAATTATTTAAACACATTGTTTGCATAACTTATATAGACATTAAAAGAGCAATAGAATGTATGAGTGATTTTTCTTGCTTCCATCATTTCTCATTTTGTCTTCTTTCTGTTAGAATAATTGCTACATTGATATAATATATAGATCTCTGTCATGCCCACAAATACAAAACACATATAAGCATACATTCATATAGCAACTTTATATTTCCATTCATCACTGATGATTCATGTTTTACTTTGTCGATCATAAATATTCATTTCAAATTAGCCAGTGAAGCTAAGTCTGAACTATTTATCATTCTTACATATGAATGGAGGTATTGTAGCAGAAGTGGTTTTAACATATTTTTAAGTTATAGATGTTATTTGCTATTGATCATGGTAAACTAGAAAAAGATGAAAGAATTAATACTTCTCTATTTTTTGATATTTTTTAAAATTTACATGGTGTTTATACTTCATAACTATTTTTCTGATCTTTTCTTCGTAAGATTTGGAAAATCTTTAAAAATATCAAAGGAATAGAGTGGAAGTTACAATGAGAATAGCAATGTATTGTATTAAAGATAAAGGTTTTGAAAGATGTGAATTTCCCTGAGATTTCTTTTGTTGACATTAGCCAAATTTTTTCAAAATCTCGATTTCATTTTCAGTGTTTTAGAGTATGAAAATAGTTTATTGCATATGGTGAGAATTTTCTTTCTGTTTGTTCAAGGTAGGTAGTTGCTGATATGGACATAAGCATGGGAGCAAATGATTGCAGTGATAATTGTTGGCTTATCTTCCTTGGTCGATAGTTTTCCTGTTCATGCTCCATTCCTGCTGTATGTAGTTTCATTCTTGAAGTAAAAGGCGCGTAGGTTCAGGTTTTTAGGACAGCATATCTAGTTATAGGTATGCTGTCCTGAAAACCTGAAAATTCAAATACTTCAGGAAGCAGTAACTGTTCGGGATTTAATACAACTTATGTTTCTTTAATCCATGCGAGAATATCCTATGGTGTTAGTCAAATTATTTGATGCATGTCACGGGCCAATTTTTTATTATCTTAGATATACTTATTATACTTATTTCATTAGTTGGAGAATTTTTCTTTTTTATGCTTATTGCTGTATTTTTTTTCCCATTCAAAATGATCATAAATTTTAAATGTCAGCGAATCTCCTAGGAACATCTGAAAGATTGTCACTACTTAAGACGATGAGAAAGATGTCAATGCCAGATTTTATGGAAGGTTCTTATGTTAAAAATTTAAATTCAGCTGTTCAAAAACGAAGTTTTGGAATAAATTTGAATGTTTTTGCTTAAATTCCTTTTTCATTTATGAATCACTGCGATATCTTCGCTTTATGGAATTTGTTTAAATTTTTTCCTTTTTTTTCTTATTCTTAGTTCTGAAGCAAACAATATGAAAAGAATGGAGACAACGTTCGATATTGCCGGCAATATGATATCGATTCCAATTAAAAGTGCAGGACTGTTATCGTCATCGTTCTCGATTAATCATCATCCCAGTTCAAATAAAAGTTTACATCTCCTTGGCATACCACTTCCAGGTTTGGCAGCCCATATGAGATGTAAATCAACCACTGATATTCCATTAGGTATTGCTGCTGCTACTGCTAATAAAACGGACAAACTAGCAGTTTGTCGAACGATATCCTCCTCTGATTTATTCAGCCGAATGTGAGCTATTGAAATTTGCATCTTGGCAAAGTCATATATATTGTAGAGAATTAATTTAGATCACATAATATATTTGCAAATGAAACTGAATTTTTCTTTTTTCTCCACTCAAATATAAAAAATCTTTTTTTTGTTAAATATGAGCATATGAGCATGCTTCATTTTTAAACCGACGAATTACTATGGTCAAGTTTTGTCTGACTTCGATGTTTATTATTGCACTAATTTTGCTACCAAATTAGTTTTAGCGTTCATTAATTTTGACATTTAATGTCTCATTACTTACTGCTTACTTATGACATGTAATGCCCTTTTAGATTTCTGAACCGGCAAAAAAATAATGAGACCAGTTTTTCTGTAAGAAATCAATAGTTATTAGTGAAATTAGTTTTCC